CAAATTGTTCTTTTATTTTGATTTTTCTAACAGTCCTGAAGAAGTGTCTTCTTTTCACTTTGTTAATTGATACCAATTTTCACCTCCATTGACATTGAAAAAATAAACTAAATTTATGAGTCTCTGTACAGCAATTTATTAAATAGAACCAAATCAAGTTATGTCTGCAGAATCCAGTAAAACTTAAATTAAATATTTATTGTGGCTATTTTTCTGTGTTGACTAGAATTACAATATATTTGCTATGTATACAGATATAATAATAGTTGGTATGTATTCTGATGTAGTGTCAGTCGTCTGTTTCATGCCTGCCATTATTCACCTTTCCAGTGTGTTTTTACTTAATCCTGCCAGTCATAAACCTTCTAGAAATAGTTTTAGCAATAATAAAATGCAATTGTGGCCACAAGGTTTTCAACCATCAAAATTTGTGACACCATTTTGATTTTACATTGTGTTTGATTGAGACGAACAGCATTTTATGCCCTTTTTATTTCAATCACACAAACATTCAATTCGATCATTCTTCACCTAGGTAGACAGTTCAACAATTTTTAGAGCTGGTAGGTTGATTCCTTTATGTCATAATTGCTATGCCAATCATCCGGTCTCTCCTGCTTTCACCAACTAGCTTTTCCATCATGCGTTCACACTCCCCCCATCTGATAATAAGCGATGGATTGCTACTTACCGGACAGAAGAAACCTTCTTGACATTCACTACACATGACCTGCCCAGAATGCATTTGATACCAACCAGCTGGGCATGGCAAACAAACGCCAGCACTTGTCTCAGGCTTATAATGTCCCTTCTCACATGGGGTACAAGTAAGAGCACCTTCCTGTAATGATTCATATCCCCCGGGACATTTCTTACAGTTAATACAGCCAGTTACATTGCAATAGGATCCTTTGGTACACGGATTACATGCCGATTGTCCAGTCACTGACTGATGATGACCAAAATCACATGGGAGACATTTACTGGCATTCAGTTTATTGTTGTATGTGCCTGTTGGATGAGTTGAAATAAAAACTGACATTGAATTGTGTTTTTAGTAGTATATATAGATATATTTGTGTCATATTTTGAATGAGATCATTGCAGTCATATATAATCAAATGACGTAGAATACATCTTTAAATATGCAGAAGCTAATTTCATTTCACAGTCTATCATACTCGTTACTATGGCAACTGAAGAAGTAGCCAGATATAAAGTTAGCTCAAGAGTCTTGGAAAATCAAGAAATTTTTAGCAGAGGAAGTTTCACTGGGATCCCCACAAGACAAGAATCACAGATTTGGGAAATGTTGTCACTGTCACCCCTAATTATAGACATGAACTGCCCTCCTCCAGATGCTTTGATACAAGGCTACAAATGACAGTTTTTGGGTAAACATCAATAGAAATAAATCTGCAGTGAAAATTTCAATCAATATTTCAGTATTTGTCTTGTGTTAGTTGCACCCACAGTCTCTCCCAAGCTACATCAACAGTAACCACAATGAAAAACAGTTTTTTTTTTCTAGCAAAATATCCTGAAAGTATCAAGACTCAAAAATTACCTTTGGGGCACTCTGAACATGCTGTTTCTCCAGTTGTGTTACCAAAATGACCTTTTTGACAGGGTAAACACTTAGCTGCTCCTTTTACTCTGCAAAACAATGTAAAGGATTCATGTTTCAGATATATTGAGTTCCTGAGTTAATTATGTATCCAATAATACTGCCAATTACTTAGATGTACATATAAATACATCTCAAAATAACGGGCATTCCTCCAAATGCTATTGGTAACAAACCTGAAGCTCAAACTGTGATTAAATTAAAGACTTTGTGTGTAATTTTTTTAAATTTGATTTGACAATCATTTTATATAATAATTAATTCAAGGTACAAATGTAGTTTAAGTGCCAAATGTTAATGGCACCATTTGTCACCTTGCACAAACTAAACCTGCATATTAAATTGTTTTCCGTATTAGTAAAAAAAATTGATCATAACCTTTAGTCAATGGAAAAGTATATCGATTTTGTGAAAAAGTTAACAACCCAATTATTCTAAAATACATAATCAAAGAAAGCTTGAAAAGAATTACTGCGTGCTTTAGTAATGGAGGAAGGAAATGTATGTATGTGCCCTCTGACAGGACTGATTTTATAGAAATTCTGACTGCTTGGGATGTTGGCCTTTAAGAAAAAGTAAATAAAATTGTATGTGACTATATAGGTGACTTGCGACACAAACAAAAATCCTGCAGTCAGATTTCATTCATAAAAAGTGAATTTTGTTTTACCAAATTACAAATTTGATAACTATAGTACCATGATTTTCATAATATTAATGTATGATTTTCTGCAAATCTTAGTCATACATACATGTCAAATGTAGAACTTATATCATATTATATTGGCTGCATGTATCTTATAAGGGAGTGTTCATAATAACGTTGAGGTCACATGACACCCCTACCCCTATATGTACTATATATGTTCAGTGAGTCTAGTAAGCAATGTACCCATCTGGTTTTTGTATACTTACTTTGAATATGTACCAATTGCACACTGTTTACAACTAGTCTTTCCTTCTTTATCTTGGTAATGTCCAGTTTGACATAATTTACATGTTGTACAGCCTGTTGAATTGCAACTTGTACCTGCCTTACATTGTGAACAGACATCTTTGCCTGATATATTAGCATAATGGCCAGCTTTACACTCTGTACACAGAACACTACCAGTTTCACTGAAAGAAAATGTATCACAATATTAAACAAGCCCCAATATTAAATGTTGAACACAGATCTTGTTTTTGACATACTGAATAATCTTAACACACACACAAATATAAAACTGCATTCTTTTTGAATTTTTTCAGGAATGAAAAAAACAAGCAATGCCAGGGGGTACTTACTTTGTTGCAGACCCAGGAGGACACAACATACAAGCAGTCTTGTTTTTCATATTTTGGAAATGACCAATTGCGCATTCTGTACAGGCTTTTGTTGTATTACACATACCAGCATAACAACAAGTACAAGAAAGATTTTCTGTAAAATAAAATAATTATTGAATCGGTGTAAAAATATTCATAACCATTAATTTATATATTTCTTACTATAAAAAGGTTGATAACAAATTTATGTCAATAATTTCAGAACAAGACAACTGCATAGAAATTAATACAAATGATACAATTGATAACAGATATACCCGGTAGTATCAACGGAAGTACATATGATCAGTCAAAAGTTCGAATAAATGAACCAGTGTGTTTGCCTCACATCTGCTTCTAATACAGCAATATTCTTTACAAGCAGCCAAATAATGATCAGTTCAGTTCAATTTTGTGGTTTTCAGATTTTGTGTTCTAAAATACTAAATTGTTTTGCTAGACAGTGATTGCAAAAATGCAGAGCAGATATAATTAGAGTGTAATATACCCGGTAAGTGAATTTACAAATATCATCTATTTTGAGTCTTATGAATAAGCTGATAAAATATGTCACAAATGCCAATTTTCAGCATATGTCATATATTCCTATGATGCAATGAAAACAGTCGAAAGCCACATGCATTTATATTCAAGATACTGGCATTTGGTCCATTTTCCTGTGAAAATTCTGATGCTGTATTTTGCAAATATAATATATTTTTCTATAATTTCTTTACTAATTTTAGACTGAACAAATATAATTTTCTTTTGGCTACAAGTCTTTATGAAAATTGTTGCCAATACTTACTGTGATTTGCATATGTTCCATTTGGACATTCTTCACACAGTGATGGATCAACATGTGTACAGTCACCAGAATCAGATACACTTCTTGAGAATAAATGATGTAAGACATTGTATGGTGTAAAACTCCATGATGAAATAATACCACCACCACCACCGAGTATAACTGCAAATAAAAATATAAGAACATTTGAAATAGTGTTCACAGTAATTTAGTAGCAAAGAACATTTCATTTCGGAACTTTGAAACAGCAAGTCACAGTAACTTTTTTCTGCTTTTTTGTATTGTTCTTTGATAATTTTACCAAAATATATCCAAAACCATCTACATTTTTTATGAAGTTGATTTGTTTTTGACTGGCAGTTGCAAATTCCTGGCTAATAGCCTGAATCACAGTTACTTTTGTAGCAATGAACATTTCATTGGCATTTACTACAAAATGTTCAAACAATGTATTGTACATGCGTTCTGTACGTCTTCATGGGTCCCATATTGAATATGCAGCAGTGTAGCACTTGCAACTCTTTAAATAACACCTGTATATTATACTTATTACTGATCAAAATAATTTGTGTGAACTATTGGAATTGAAGATAATTTTTATTAATAAATTAATGAGACTAAAAATAAATATTTCATAGTTAGTAACAGATCTGTAAATTATAACCAATAATGCGACATAATGACGTTATCACGTGACCTTAGTCATGGAGCAAAGGTGCCAACGTTGACACACGTTATTTTGTCAAAATATTTATTTTAAATATCAAATCAGGCAATAAGCTTATTCACTATTATTCGACATGACTTTTAAATCATAATTACTTGAATACTAGCATGTACATTTATTATGTCCTCGTGACGTACCATCAGATTCGAACTGTAACACCTCTCTGGCGTGAGAAACAACAGAACATGATCACATAATGACATACATGTACGCTTCAAATTTATACAAAAATACATATAAACACGAAAACAAAAATCAATATAATTGATTTCATTAGTGACCCTGGGTGTATCTTTTATGTAGTGCTATACAATTCATAGACATCATTTACATGCCGACTTGGCAACTCGACCCATTTTTACACGGGTACTTACCGGGTAAAAACGCAAGCAAGATGCACCCCTGTGTGACCAGGCGCTTATTCGACATCTTAAATTCGATATTTAACGCAGACAGTAGTTAAAATTCGGCCATAATTACGTCACGCCGCCAGATTTATCCATCGTGTGATAAGTTGTATTTTCTGATATCCGGCTGGCTGGCTGTGTCATGTGATTATTAGAGTTCAATGGTTCAAAGGTCAAACAGTCTTCTGCAACTTAGGTTTTTTCTCGCGTGCACAGTCGCTCGTAACCTGCGACTAAAACTTTGTACATGTATTATTAAGAGCTCTCAAAACAAGCCGTTAATTCTTGTTAACCATACTCGTGGGGGGGAGGGGGGTAATAATAATGTATGTTTGCTTACATGTAAGGATGTGATAACTACATGTATTAGAAAACATGTACCAGGATTACTTAAGCAATATGGAAACAAAAAATAAAAAAAGAACACAACATTAAAATTAAACTAAAGAAAAAAAATGTATAAAGTAAATCCCTGTCGCAATGATTTTATTCATTCTCTCATTTTATATATTTATTTTTATCTAATTTATCAATCTGCTTCGATTTCCCTTTTTTTCAAATTACACAAACACAAACACAAGTGTAAAATTGTGTACATACAGTATTTTTTTTATTACATTTGTTTATTTATGTCTTTTTATTCTCATTACCTTACTAAATCCTCTGATGATTTAGTTGTGTAATAAAATTATTATTATTATTATTACTATTATTATATACTATTTTATGGATATTGAACATGCATACATACACACACACACACACAAAAACTAGAATAATTTGCCTCATATTGCCTTGTTTTATTGAATTATACCAGTGTACAGATTATATGACATAACACTCACAATATTCGATACCTGTTGTATGGTTAAAGCATTACGTAATACTCATTCCATATAAATAGTAGAGTACACTATTGACACGCAACACACGATGTATGATTTGGGGAAGGGTTAAATAAGGTCAATGCGATTAGGTTGTCGTAAATAAAAAGATAGTTAAAAAATATTAAAGCCGAGTCAAATCCACTTGGTATAGGCTAAATTTCCACTTTTGTGTGGAATTAACTACATAGATTTTATCTTCCCTGTCAGTTTGTGACCGTGACATTGATTGGCTGAGAAATTATACATGTTGATAACCAAAATAATATTTTCAATCATCGGAAATTAATTCATATCGTTTGATGGGAACTTCCATGCATTATTTACTGACTATAGGATGCAATTTACTACAAGAGCAAACATAGTTGCTATGGAAATATATCACCTTATTCTTCATGATGATGGAATAAATTCACATTGTCATAAGAAAACACCTGGTATCGTAGTAGAACACAGACTATGAAGACATTTTAACCTGGCGAGGTTGAGGATGAAGTTCATTTCGTTTTACGGATTTCAGATGTCACTATAACAATATGAAATATAGAAAGAAGTCATGCGTCTCATGTTATTGTTTGCGCGCAAGATTAAGTTATGGAAAATGTCATGGAAGAAAAATAAATCCACTCGGATGAACCGAGTCTTGTCGTTCAATCATCCTACATGACCAACATTTCTACAATTAAGATAATGAGCAAACGAAGTGTGTATAGGATTTGTTATTGCTGAATTGTTAGACTTATAAAGAGCATAAGACATATTGCTTCGTGATGAACAGCCTTGAAATAGGGGAGTAATATAGAATAACACTGAATCCGGCAAATTTTAGTGTTCTGTTAGTTTTGATTTGTTGCAAAATAAATTTATTTCACAGGCAAGTCGCCAATTTCTTGAAAAGATATGGAATGCTATATGTTTAGTAAACTCATCTAGAATATCTTAATTGCAAACTAAGTACTCCCCTAGCTATTCCCCACGGTCTTACAACCTGGAGAATTATTGTCTTTATTCTTCCCTAATTATTAATTGAATTAAATTCCAATACAGACAATATAATAAAACCAGTAGTCAGTATAAAAATACCATGATGTATATCTTTGACAACGATGAATTTAAGGTTCATAATCGGTAAAAGGTAACATGACGCTACCCAATTACAATGCTACATCGAGTCAGACAGATATCGCTTTGTAAATATATTGCAATAATGTCAATAATAGAAAACTGGGTTTATATATTGCATGTTAGGACGCTATACTGTTCATTTCGCACTATTTAGTGACTAGATTAGATTTCATCTCAATCTGACATGCCAGCCTCTTTCAATATTGAAACACAAAACCTCAGTAAAATGTGCAAGAAATCCGCATTATCAATACAGAGTGAATATTTTTTTTTTTTTTCGTGCAAGATAATTTTAGATTTTTATACAGATCTAGTTTGGAATGACGATTCAGTTCTTCCTGCCAACTATGATAATCGATGTCAGAACATCATGACTTAAAAGCGGCCAGCAAACATTTCTCATAACCCACACCTTGATTAATCCATGCTTCATCAAATCATATAAAAATAACAGAATTTTCAATTTATAGGCCCAGCACGTTTTCTATGTTTTTTATAATTAACTTTCTCTGACTAAATATCGGCAACTGAAGTTTTAGACATTAGAAAACCACGTGTTGACATTTCTGCCATCTAGTGGCAACAATAGGAAAATGCAAAATACGTGGGTTTACATGGTGAGTATGTATCATACCACTAAATAGATGACAATGTAACAATTGATTGAATCCCCCCCAAAAAACACAGGTTTCAAAAGTCGAAATATTGTTCAAAATTGTTGAAACAATATGGAAAAATCCAAGCAACAATAATCCAAACAATCAATGTCAAAAGGCAATATTTACAAATTCGAGAACACACAGGGGACACACAAACAAAACAAACAACATACTGTCAAATCGGTGAGAGAGATACATGGACCTCAAGACACAAACCAATAGGTGATGTCAGGTGTTTCGAAAAGAGTGAGCACATCCTGCTCCACATGTGGCACCCACCATATATCTCTCTGAGTCACAATCGTGAATTTTCAGGTCATCCTCGTGCAAGACAATTGACATCCAGCGCTTCTATTACCATCTATTTCATAGAAACATGATACTTGTCCACAAGCTGATGATACTTGCCATAGAACTTTTTAAATGACAAGATCAGTCTTCTCTTATAAACCCTTGACTTAATAGTTTAAAACAGAGAAGACGAGAATACATACTACATGCTCTGCCATAACGATGTATTATGTAATCAAATTTTCACCAGGTATGATGTTCTCCAGATCAAACGTCTACAGAATGGATGTAAATAAAACACACAGATTTGTTAACTCTTCTACCATTCAACATACAGAAAAAAACACACAAAGAAACATTGACTAACAACCACAATATAATTTGAGGACTGATAGAATAGTTGGTGGTTCAAGACATTTGGATACAGCTATAGGGTGTACAAACAGAAACATACGAGTTAATCTTTGCCAATATTGTGATAAAAACACAAATTGGTTAAAAAAAACTTTTTTCAGAATTTTCATTAAAAAAAAGAAGACAAATCCATTGTCATGACAACAAATTTGACCAGAAGCTGCTAATGTGTGTTACCAACACTTCATTACCAGACTCATGGGAAACCAATAAATAAGGAATATTTTTTTTTTACAAAAACATCTTTTAATTTAATTTATTCAGTTTATGATTATGAAGTATTCTAAATAAAAAAAAGATTGTGTATTTTACATTGGGATACAAATAATTACTGGTAATTTAATAAAATTGACTAAAATATGCCCACTAAAGCCATTATAAAAATATTAAATACGTTAAAAAGTTTTACAATGTATTGGTAGTATATATATAATTTATCATAGTCATCTTTACACAATATCAGTGAAATTAAAAATTAATTTATTCAGTAAAAAATATACACAAAACATTGAAATACAAATAAATAATTATTCTAAATAAAAAAAAAATTGTATATTTTACATCGGGATACATATCCTCATTAGTAACTTAATGAAATACATTAAAATATGTCCACTAAAGCCATTATAAAAATGTTAAATTACATTAAAAAGTTTTACAATGTATTGGTAGTAAATACAATTTATCACAGTCATTATCTTTATACAATATCAGTGAAATTAAAGTTGAAATTGATATGTACAATCTATTTATAATAAGTTAAAATGATCATGGATCAGTCCTATCAAATATCTTTATTTTTTTTTGTAAAAGAGAAAGGAGGATCTGGAACATAATGCAGCAAGGCCTAATAAAGTGATGACGATAAGCAAAAAAGAAGAAGTGGTGTTTGACAGATTTGAATTTCTGGTTCAACAGTTCCTATCTTCATGTTCTATCCAAGTCAGCTTCAAATGTTCAAAGATTTCTTGTTCTGATGATGCCGGGATGTATTGTTGCTGGAAATGACAGAACATAGTGAAACTATTACAGACTTGCATTCAACAATATCACATTAAAAAGCATGGTAACAGTGTCTAATTTTTCAAAGGAGATGCAAAAAAAATTAAATTGTCATAATAAATTGTAATATGGCCATGGTAATTTTATTAAACACATTTTTTTTGCAATTCCTGTGGGTAGAACAGACTTTTAAACTTGACTTTATTTTGACCACTATTTCAGTCCATCCACTCCAATAACTTTTCTATATCAATTTCTAGACACTCACTTATTGGTGTAATAGAAGTAATGTGTTATGGCTATGATTCATTTCCAATGCCATTCATTTTTTTAAAACACTAAAACCTGGTTACTGTTCTCTTCTGGGTTGTGAATATTCATTGTTGTAACATTCAAATAAATAAAATATAATTATGAGTTTTTGCATTTGCCCTTGAGTCAATAGTCATGTCGGAGTAATTACTGAATGATTTATCTGTGAAGCATTGTAATTGAAACATGCAATATTTGTTACACACTTTACTCATCATCAGAGTATCCTGACTTATCATACATTGTTTCAAAATACCGATTCTGAAGTGCGGCGACGGCATGAGAGCGAACATGGTAGAAACCGTTGCAGTTTGTTCTTTTTGTTTCAATTATTTATATTCAGCCAATTAGAGGTATTCCCACTAATTTCTTACATGGTCCAGATCATATCGATGTATATCAAGGGTATACTGCACGTTCTGTGCCATTCTTTCAATTTTTGTTATATTGCATTGTAAGTCTCCAGATTGCCATTGGGCTTTCTGTTAGTATATACATCCTGAGTTTATGTGCCGATTGGTGCTGATTGTGTAATAGATATTTTTAATTTTGCATACTATTTTTTGTTATTTTACAAGTCATATGGACTGCATGCAAAAAATATAAATCTTTCAAAGCATCAATTGAACATGGTTTTATACTGTGTTAGCTTTACTGCAGCTGACTGCAGCAGTATGTCACACGCAACGATTACCGTAATTGGTATAGTACAGGTGTGATGGTTCAAATACCAAAATGGCAACAGTAACAGAAAGACTTCCCTGGCGGCAATGATAAAATACGAACACGGAGCCATCAGATGAGGTTTCAACTGGTACTGGTATTATTATACTCTGCAAAAATCAAGTACAATAACGCGGTAAAACTCCACTACTCCAATAACTAGATACTTAAACTCCAATACAATTCAACGAGATCTCCGATCTGATCTCAGTGCTGAACAACTCCCCTATATATACCCACACTGTCTATAAATAGACCATTACATCAGCATACATAATGAGTCTGGAATTTACTATAAATTTCTAGAATGTTCCATTACCTTCTATTGTCTCCTACAGTTGTTCTATTACCTATTCAACCAGTTTCTAAAAAAAATCTAGAATATTCCACCCAGACACAGCACGGTTCTAGAACATTCTCAGTGACACGGAAGTGGTAAATAAGTCGTATGCGACACAGTACTAGATATAATGTGATAACTTACATTAATTCTATCATAGAGACCATGACTTGATAGCATCATACCAAGTTCTCTGTCAGCATAGAGTCTGATGGATCTATTGAACATTTTGGAACCAACCCATCCTAACAATGCATATCCATACTGACTTTGTGGACACACAACAAAATCCACTCTCACAGCCCTCCATGTTCTGTCTTTTGGAAGATCAAAGCTATCTGTGTGCTTTAGTATATAGTCATCGGATTTTGTATTTGAGGAGCATGACTTGCCACCTTGAACCTTTTCTGTCGTTTTAGACGCACCACCACAACTGGTATACTTGTCAACCATAGATTTTTCAAGTCTGAAGATGCTCAAACTTTTTTCAAAATGATCCAACATACTTGATTTGTAGTGTTTTGGGGATTTCAACGATTCTTTGTGAAATGTATTGGCTTGTAGACTGCATTCCAGTAAAAGATTCTTCTGTTTTAAGTTTGTGATCAGTTTTTGAAGGACACCTTTCTCCTTTCCATTATCTGGGTGGGACATCAATAAATCAACATCATGTCCAGAATCTTTTCCCCTGTGGTTAAGAATACAAAATACAACAATGACATACAAATCAACCAATGGTAAACTCTGTTACATACAAATCCACCAATGGTAAACTCTGTTACATACAGATCCACCAATGGTAAACTGTGTTACACTCACATCCACCAATGGTGCACTCTGTTACACAGATCCACCAATGGTACACTGTGTTACATACAAATCCACTAATGGTACATTGTGTTACATACCGATCCACCAATAGTACACTGTGTTACACACAAATCCACCAATAGTACACTCTGTTACACTCGCATCCACCAATGGTACACTCTGTTACATACAGATTCACCAATGGTAAACTGTGTTACATACCGATCCACCAATGGTACAATGTGTTACATACACCTCCACCAATGGTAAACTGTGTTACATACACATCCACCAATGATACATTGTGTTGCATAATGAACAAATAACGAGAATTTGCTTTCAAAGGACACATATCACAATAGACACTATTTTTGTAAAATCACATTAAACAAGGATTTCATTCCAATTTTTGTGGGTCTGAATGACAATATTCCTTGCTAAATTTATTGGCTGGATTGTATTCTTCCTAACTTAACAAGCCATGCATGGCCCGTTAGTTATCAATTTTAAGATATATAGTTTTGTTTATAGTAATATAGCTGGAATATAAACATGTCAGGAATATGATTATGATGATTGTTTAACATTAAAATGATTGACATTTCTTTCTGATTGTCAAACGAGTATTGAGAGATATTGCTCTGGAACAGCATTAATTAAAACAAAATCAGCCATTTTGAATACATGTATAATGAATACATGTATATAAAATTTGAACATAATCAGTCAAAGCATGTCAGAGATATGGCTCTAGAAGCCCATTCATTAAAACAAAATGGCCGCTAGTCAGCCATTCTGAATCCGATCTGAAAAATAAAATTATTTTTTAGCACAAAAATGGCCACCATTCAGCCATTTTTTAAAAGGATCGTCAAACCAATATTTCTGCATATCCATGACATGATATATAATGAATATTTAAAATTTGAACATAATCAGTCAAAGCAAGTCAGAGATATGGCACTAGAACCACATTCATTAAAACAAAAAAGCCACCAGTTGGCCATTTTGAATCTTATCTGAAAAACAAAATGACGTGCATCAAGGTCCTATAATATCCAACGTATATACCAAGTTTGAACAAAATCCATCTGTAAACAGCTGAGAAATGCTTGATTTTGATGATTTTTTAGCACAAAAATGACTGCCATTTGGCCATCTTGAATCAGATCGTGAAACAAATTGATGTGCATATGTATAATATCATGTATGATGTACGTGTGAAGTTTGATTGTGATTGGTCCAGGCATTTCTAAGATACAGGTCCAGACGCACGGACACACAGAGGTCAAAACATAAGTCCCGTTTTCAGACTGCGTTCGAACGGGGACTAATTAAATAATAATTCTTCATACCTTATGAATCCTCCTGTTATAACAACAGTAAAATCATTGGATATTTCCTTTATCTCTTCAATTATGAAATTCCTGATAGCCTCAGCTTCCCGTCTTATCACCGGAGTTTGTAGATCATCATAAAACCTTATACCTGAACAAAGAAAATAAAAACTGCAAACAAAAACTTGGGGGCAGGGTGGGTTGTTGAAATCAGCAATGAGAGAGAATATATGGTGTCAGCAGAATTGTGTGGGAACGAGGTTCAGAACAGACTAAAAAAAAAATACAATTTCTTCATTATGTTATTTAAACTTTTTCATATCTTTGGTTTTGCATTGGTATCCATGGTGACAGTACTTCATCAAATCAAGCAATTGGACTAAGTTGCTACATTGTCAATGACCGTGGAAATTGTATAGATTTTCCGATGAATGATAAAAACAAAATGGTGAAGCAAACACAAGATGCTGCTACAAAACAAAACAAACAAAAAAACAGACAAAACCAGACAAGGTTTAAATAACTATTATAATACCATTTCTTTGATCTGCTGTTAGATGAATAGTTGTTGATTTCTTGATATCCTCCAATGTTCGATATCCCATATTGTACCATTTTCGTGCTGTAGCCGGGCCACAACCATAGATACCTACAAATAACTAAAAGGTATAACCTTGTTATCGTCTCAAGAGGTGTACATACAGCTGTTTTTTGAATGTAGATAACAATTACTTATTTTTCTGGGTTAAAAATAAACCATGATAAAACCATGAGGGCGCTGTCCTCAAATTGACACACTGCTGATACCAGGTAATATATACATGTATACCTGTATAGTTTTAAACCATTCACTTGACTTGATGTCTTCTATTTCAGTTGAGTAACCTTTCTCTAATATTTCCTGAAAATTAAATTATTGTGAAAAATCAGGAGAACTGGGATTGCAATAAAAGATTTTTGGATTTACTGGTTGCAAAGCTACCCATCATGTGCCTGGGTTGATTCAGATTTTATTGACTCAAATGATTATACAAATATAATACGGGCAGTAACTTTGTGACAATTCAAAATGATGATAATCATAGGTTTCTTCATGATCGACTCACTAGATACAAAATTGTAGATATTTCTAACATTCATATTTGTACAAATGTAGATTCAAAAGACAATAATTGTATTTGATGTAATTTATTACTCACCCTAATAACATCTTTACAATGCTTGCCGATGTCTTTCAAATTAGCAACATCTCTCATACTCGTTACAGTATGTGGTAATGATTTCAAGGAAGCCGACGCTCTCCTGAAAGCCAACGCTCTAGAGTAATCCTGATCACCACCAGTGTAATCAGCGTTCTTTTCAAGTACCTCTAAAGCATCCTGGAAAATGATTTGTAAATATCAGCACTTAGGACCTGTAGTAATTTCATAACTGAAGAATAACATAATATTCATTGAGTATTTCCATAGACAATAGAAGACTCCAATAACTGGAATGGATATGTCTACCCTAGGGACCATTCTTGGCTACTGAGGATAAAAATAGTTTTTGCCACTAACACAAATAACACAATTAATTTTTGTTTTTTATTCAATTACTCTTAGTAATATTAGCTAATGAAAAATCATGTTTATTTTTCCTATTTGTTATAGCAGATTAGAATGTGTGTACTCAACAATAATACTTGCCACTGTGCACACTATCATTTGTTAAAAATCCCTCATTATATTGGTGCCCTGCTTTATAGGAGATATTATTTCTTTACATCATACATTGTGTTATAGAGGTGCATGATATCGTAATTTTAGATATTAAGTAGTTATTGTGGCTGATGAAATATAAATCTAATTAGCCACATTTGATTTCATTTAGCATTGGCACTAACACAGACAATTTCACCTCTGCACGTCTATGCATCCGTGTGTCCAAATTTGTATCTCTGCCTGGACATTCACACTGTTACACCATACATTTGAGATACATACCCATGAACATTTATTTGTTATACAATTTAAGATGTTAGTGCTAACAAGTAAATAAAATTTCTGCCATTCAAAGTTGGTACATATATCGGGAATTAGGAAACCTTAATGCACATCACTTTGTTTTGCATATCAGATTCATAATGGCTGACTGGTGGCCATTTCTTTTTTTTTCTTAAATCCTGTTCTAGAACTCTATTGGCCCAATCATGTTCAAACTTCACAAATACATATAATACATTATGTCCCACAAGATTATGTATTTTGCAAGTGCGATGGAGGTTTGTACTTATGGAGTGCTTTCTAGTTCTGATGTCACATGTGACATGAGCAGTGTCTATTGACAACAGCTTGATTGAATAAACTTTACTCACTGTAAATATCTTGTTGTGGTGTTTAAGTGGTGTTCTCCTCTGACAGGCATATTTAGTATCTTGATACTCAGCTTCATCTTCTATGGTTGCTATGGTTTCCTAAAAGCAAAAACTGTCAGTTATGGATCTGTAATTTGTTTTCAAATTACAATACAATAACTATGTACTGTGGAATACTTTATTTTCGCTGGAATTAATTTTCACTGAAAAGGGTTTTTGGGAGTTTTGCTTGGAATTTATTTTCACTGATTTTTGATGAGATTAATGTAAAATATAGGAAAAAATTTATATTCGCTGGTTTTTATTTTCACGGAATCATCCCTTCAGCGAAAATAGCGAAAATAAATTCCAAGCGAAAATAAAGTATTCTACAGTATTTGGTTCAGATTTTCAAACTTCCACTTATCTAAATTGTACAGAATAATCTGTCTAAATATGTCTTACATTAGTAACATAGGTAAATACTACAAAGAACAAGTTGAAATTATGCAGGGTAATCTGTCTAAATATGTCTTATATTAGTAACATAGGTAAATACTACAAAGAATAAGTTGAAATCATTGATGACAATGTTACTTGCTTTAAAAATTAATAAATCTCATGAATAGGCAAAGCCATGATAACCACCTCGAAAGTTAAGTTATGCCCTGACTGCCTAATTAGCCTAATCCAATTGCTGTTTTACTGGCTTTTCACATAGAGATTGACAACTATTGACAAAATAGTTTGCTACTCTGACATTTCCTAAAGTGATCATCTTTGCAGTGTTCTTCCAAGAAGTATACTAAAGCATCGCAGACAAATTTGAAAGTGGTGTTACCAATGATTCACTCGTCTTGTCTAGTTTATTGTCCACAGTTTTATATGTAGCTATCAAATGTCAGTCCCACTGCTTTGTATTAACTCCATTTGTGTGTTTATTAGCAGTAATAATGCTCCTTATTGAAACTCTAGCTCAATAAACAACTGGGAACTAGTTTTAGTGCTGGTCAAAATCGCTATTACATTCAACCCTATTGGATAAACCTGTGGCGTTTAATAATGACATCTATGGAAACTGACCTTCAATCAACAACTGCAAACTATGCTAGTTAGAGTGCAAACCATTTGTGCAATATAACACTTAAAATTTCTAGATAAATCAGTCTTTTGTTACATCAGCAGTGTATAAGCTCAACAGCTATAGATGCAGAAATTTGTACCAAGCCCTTAGCAACTACGCATTTTTAGATCAATGTCTATCTGTATAATAGACTAAGATAACAAAAATTGGTGAATTTGATCTCTTGAGACTGAATCCACAAATTCAAAAATTGAGCGTAACATGATGTAAGTAAAAGACAAAGTACTTATGTCTTTGAGTGGCAGACAACTGGTTAATGCATGAGAAATGCAACAAAAAAAACATTGTGTGATCTTGCTCATTACTGGTTCTGGCAGAGCACCTACTCATGGCACAGTATCAATATACCTTTTGTTCTTGTGGAAGTTTGTGTTCAGCAGTAACTTTGATTGGTTTATTCTCTTCCATGCTGGCAGTGAACCAGTGAATGGAGACAATTTCAACTTCATTTTCCAGATAAACGTGTTTCACATCTCTGTACCTTTTATTCAATATTTCTAATACTTTGTCTCTTGTCTCAAGTTCAGATATGATGTGAGTGACGTCATTACTGTAATGAGACACATATAAGGGTTAGTGATCAAATTGGATGAGTTAAAGCAATAAATCTATTTGAATATTGTTGTGTCCGGGAGTGTCAAAGTCAAAATAACTAACAATGTTCCTAGGAATATTGCAATGTTGCAAGGACGATTGCTAGGAAAATAATTATCCCGATCATTAAACCTTGGTGTCCGGTGTAAAAGTTGCATGGGATCCACATTTAACATGTTTACACATATTCATTGATATTGTTACTTATTTTGTTATTCTTATTAATTTACCGCCAAAGGCACTCGGTACTGTGTTTCTAGGGTAATAAACAGGTGCTAAAAGAGTCGGATATGTACTTAGCCGCCGGCACCGCTCTAGAACCACTGACAGCACTGATTGTGCAATGTAACGCGGAATCACAGGTGATTTTATCATGAGGATGTCTGTAAACAGGGCTACCATAGTACCATTTTTACACAAATTACAGAGACAGCGAAGATGTGTTTAGAAAGCCTCACCAGCTGTGCAGGTCTCATGCCACTAATTAACCAATGGCTGCTCGTCAATTTAAATGCCTAGCAAGAACCAATGAAATTTTTTAAATATTATTTTTCTCAGGTGCTTCCTATTTGAGGGCGTAATCACCTGGGTCAGAGGTGAGACCAACATGTGGTCTTTTGTTTACTACTTAGCGGCTGTGTACCTGTGGGTTTATTCTGTGTGTTAATGGATGTTCTAATCTTGGTGTTTTTCCAGTGATTTCTCTTGGTGCAATCCAAATACAGTAGGTGTGTCTTGTTTACCTGAGATTTGCAAGAGTTTGAGCTGGCCAACATGTTAGTTTTTTTCATATGGTTGATTACTGGCATGTTGATTTCCCATTTTTGAGCCATATTTTCAACTTTCTTCGTCATTTTCATATAGCAATCTCGTCATATGTTAACATTGTCGTCTATGGAAATTCAATTAGTGGTATGAGCCCTGCAGAACATACCTGAGATTATCCGCAACTGGAATACCTTTCCCCCTGGCAAGCTTTTTCAGATGATCCACTCTCACCCTTGGAATCTTGGCGTCTACAATATAAAGAAGGGTTCCGGGGAATTTAATCGTAAATTGTTGCTTAACAGCAGGCCCCTTTTCAACTTTCCGTCTTTTACTGGGCGCAGCCATCTTGGTTTATTTATACCGATTACTAGTACATGACAGAGAACGTAAACCGACAGAGGGCGCTGCCTGTGATTCACCAAGAAATGTTCAAGCGAGCTTACTGTAAAAGGGTTAATTACTCACTGGGTTTTAATTTTGCTTATTTTGCTGACTGGAAAATGCGCTAAATTAAAACAAACCCATTGAATATGTAAAGTTTAGCATAGAACATATTATCTAAATGATAAAACCGTGAATTTACATTAAAACCCACTGAATATGCCTGAAATGGTAAATCAGCGAAATTTAAACCCAGTGGAAATTAGTCATTTTACAGTATCCAAGTTTTTCTTGCCAAATCGGCTAGACCTAGTTGATTTTCAAAATGAATACTAGTAGTTTGGTTTCAGAATAACATGTCAACCCACACCCACACATTTATTACAGTCAAGAACAACTAGCGAGAGAACAGGAATTCAAATACGATTGATGCATGATTTGTAGATCTCGGAAAGTTATTTAGCAGCGGCTTTTCAAACAAAGCTTTTAAAATAAAATGTCACAACATTTTATTTTCACAAATTCTCAACATTATTAAGGACATGTACGCTAATGTAATAAAACCGACTGTATAACGTGAATATAAAGGACTAACAACTGGTTTTCTATTCACATCCGGTGTCAAACAAAGCTGCCATCTAAGCCCTAATTTAATTAACTTATTCATAAGATCTGATATAACTTAGATATAGAATGTTGTCATTCGTCATTATTAAATAACTTAAGAATTAGCTGTCTTATGTATCCAGATTACACTGTCATTGCACTCAACTTTTTTCGTAAAACTTCCCAAAATACATTTTTAAGAAGGACTATTTATTTACAGCGAATTTGGCAGATATCCAATTCTCATTGTTTCCCTATAAAACATGCAATCGAATATATAAATAGCATAACTAACTACCGTAAAATACAAAAAAAAAACAGAGATCGAAATCCCCCCCCAAAATATGACAATTGTATTGTTTTGATATATCATTTGCATAATTAATGACGTCATTCAACAAATGTAACACATGTTTTATACCGCACATCAGTTTATACGTTCAACTTGTTATAGAACATGAATGAAAAAAGTCAAAAATGAGCGTTATAGGGGCAACAATGGTTTTATTCGATTACAAAAACGTAAATTTCAGAAACTTCCATTATAGTTCTAAATAATAAGCGGTCCGGATAAATTGTTATCTTTAATGATAAGCATGGGTTTGAATATAAGTGTCAACGAACATAGGTGTCGCCGTATTATTGAATATTGAAGTTTATAATTTACAATACGTCATACTAAATTTCATACGTTATACTAAATTCATACGTCATACTAAATTACTAGCAACTGAAATGGTATACTTGAACTCAAACACACACATGCACACCTCAATATTCTTAATTGAGATAGACACACTTTTGTGACGTCATTTCCTGCAGAAGCATCCTGCTCAATACAAATTCAAGAAAGTTTTTATATTTTTTGTTTATAATTTGCGAATATATTGCTTCAAGTTTTTTGATATAAACGTGATATTTCTGTAAGTGGATAACGGAGTTAATACATGTAAATATATGAGAAAAAAAGTAAAAAAAATTCAGTTTCCAGACGAAGAATCCCGAGTCCAGTTAAGTTAAGTTAGAAGCAGAATATGGAAAAAATTAACGTTCATATTTGTTTGCCATAATGGTCGACAAAGAGATATGAACTTTTCGTTCTTGTAACCCTTTTAGACCAGTATTTTAAAAATCTGCTTCGACCCTAGACAGCACTATCTGAATATATTTGTGACATGCAATTATCTTGCCAATTCTGTTTTGTCGGGTATTGTTTTAACATCATAGCTATTTTTTGGTGTTTTCTGTGCATTAATTCATTTTATTCCAACGTATATTAATAAATGCAATTTGACTTCATTCCATCTATACATAATGAAACTCCGCGTATAATTATATTGTGACTTGAAGCTTGAAAACTACCTTTACCGTGTAGCACCGGAATCATGCTTACATGCCAGTGCTTATAATCAAATCCATATAGGCTAAATAACAAAAAAGCTAATAAAACCGACCAAGGATTAGTCACATATTTTAACAGTATCTAATCACGAATTCAATCGTTTTCAATAAAAATAAGGTGAAAAAAAGAAGATAAATATTCAGCAATTATTTTCAATAGAGGTCAAGATCATAAAAAAAAGAGTTCGGTCAGATTAACGGAAACAATTATGAGTAAAACTAAGCCTAACGGTGCGTATACGAAAATGGGTGATGAACTCCGCTAAAACACGTTTGCAAATAGTAATACACATTATTGCATTGACTATTGCATCCGTCACATATTTCTAATTTAACCGTTTCACGATTATAATCTTACAACTAGTACGCATCATTCCATAACAACCACTGTATACATACATGGAATTTTAAGCATGGCACCGAGTTTTACGATGCTTGGTAGCTAAAATGCCGAACTTTAACTTTAATAGAGGTTATAGACGTGTTAATGATTTCCATTTTAATAAAACACACATGTAAATCAGATAGTATTATTCATGCAAAATGTCCGGTATGCTTGTGAATTTACCCGGGGGGAACACTGCAATAAATGGTAAATAATACTGAAACACGTGATACACACGGGAGGTGATGTTAATGCTTAGATTTTATCACCATGACAAGATACATGTATATAGTAATTATAACATGTTACAAGTATACCCTTGTAGGTTATTCCACCCGAGTCGAAAATGTAATTTTGTCAATGACTCCTTCTCTCACGTTTTATTATACCGCACAATAAAACACGATATCTGTTGATCTATTGCGACTTATATAGTGGCAGTCATACACAATCGTTCACAAAATTATTATAACCGATCAATAATGTTTTTTATAACACTACCAGCTACAAAAATACACGAAGAGGATGTCGCCATAGTAAATTGTATCTATAGTAACCGCCAATATTGTAATCACTGTAAATTGAGGATACTACAAGCTATAAAAATACACAAACAGAATGTCGCCATGGTGATCCGTATCTATGGTAGCCTGTCAGTATTTATAATCACTTTAAATTAAAGATGTCAGTCAACCAATCATTGTTGTGTCCGATATCTAACGATATGAAGAGTTAATAGAATATAATGTTGGCGTTACAGCGACGTGTCTCACGTGAGTCCACATATTGCGCCACGGATTCACCCTTTTTACCACGCTTTTTTAAATAGCATAATAGATAATGAAATTGACACATAGCATGTCATGTCATATACGTTCTGAAATCAGACAGTTTAATAAATCTGTTGCGATAAATGGTGTCATTTAAAACACGCTTTTATGAGGATCACAAAAGGTCGGTAGAAGTGTATATTGGTCATCACATTGATAAAACAAACAATTAAAATATGATGTTTGGATGTTTGTTTAACGTTCATTCATATGCAGGCAATGTTTAGAAGTGAAATACAAGGTGATAGGGGTTTGTAACCCTTATTAATTATGTGAAACACCTGCAGCTACGTGAATTGAATCCTAAAACTTAACATATTTAATGAAAAAGTAGTGCTCACACGCGTTTTACACGCAATAAATAGTTCAAATTTTCAAGATCAGATTTTCACAATATGGTTATATTTAAGTTTGTGTTTTGAATCAAATATCCTAAGACTTGACAGCAGATTTTATATGTGTAAACATCGGCATGTGTGTCTCTTTTGGTGTCAAATATGTTGACGTCACGAACAATGTAAACACCACGATTTTACACTGCGTGCTTCGAAGCATAGCAGTGTTTATAGCTCAAGAACATAGTGTGCTGACTTACCTATCGTATAATGGAATCACCAACAGTAAATCTATATGAACCAGTGAACTACATATATCACTCCGATAAACGACAACGGACCGGAAGAACGTTCCATTAAATTCGCATAGCTTTTATAAGTTGGACGGCGCCAAATATGGATACGATGTAGAAAACGACTTGTGCGTACCTTTCGGATGGTTTATTCCCATAAATATTCAAGAAAATGTCACACGTTATTTTTGCTGATGTGTATTATAATGGATCCTACTATTCGGGAAACCATAACGACTCGTTGGGAAGCGATGATCACGGACACGACGGGGTATTGTTTTCTCCTCATCCTCACGTATTGGTCCTTGTTGTTCTCTCGTGTATCATTCTCGCCGCAGTTATTGGAAATATTCTCGTGATAGCTTCTGTATACTCACAGCGTCGTTTGCGGACAGTGACGAACTATTATATCGTATCGCTTGCATGGGCGGATTTTTTGGTCGCTCTGTTCGTGATGCCGTTCCACGTGGTAGGAGAAATTACGGGCAGGTGGTGGCTCGGTGTCGTCTTTTGTAACATTTGGATTTCACTGGACGTTCTTTTATGTACTGCGTCGATATTAAACCTATGTTGCATTAGTTTAGATAGGTACTTTGCTATAACAGAGCCTCTCAAGTACGCAGCCAAGCGTTCCAAGCGCCTATGCTTTAGCATGATCGCGGGTGTTTGGATCGCTTCTGCATTGATCACATCCCCGCCTATCTTTGGGTGGAAAGACCCGGATCACGGAAGAGACCCTACACGGTGCCAGCTAACACAGGCTCCAGGTTATGTCATATACTCGGCATGCGGCTCTTTTTACTTTCCACTTTTAGTCATGATTTTTGTTTATTGTCGAATATTCCAGGCCGCATCAAAGAGCGAGAAAAAGTTTGGTTTGAGGAGAAAATTCAACAACGGCCAGAAAAACACCACTACTACCTTGGAGAAATCCGATTCTTTCGATTCGCAGTACAGTTTTAGCAGCGAGGAAAAACAGAAAGGAAATATTTTGCTAAAACCGGAAAAAGTCAAAACATTGAAATTAATATCAAGATCATCGCTTACAAACGAGCATAAAGTGAAAACTACGCTCATCTATGGAACGCCGATGCTTAACAGACGTGTTTCTAAAGTGAAACTACAGGGCAGTCAAAATGGAATAGTAGAGTATCATAGCTGTCAATCTACGCCAACGCTGCCACGGGAATGCGGACACACACCACTTCGTTCTTCTAGTGTCGCTATGCTGAGGTTGAAAAAGTTGGTGACAGAAAGCCCGGTATCCGCGGTGTGCAACTCCCCGACTCGGCGGGGAAAGTCTGGAAAAAGCGACGAGAGAAAAAAAGCGCGCATGCTTCTGCGAAAGGAGAGAAAGGTAGCGAAGACACTGGCTATCGTTGTGGGATGTTTTACTGTGTGTTGGCTGCCCTTTTTCCTTGTTTACATTATAGCGCCATTTTGTAGACAATGTCACGTGCCAACAATGTTAACTAGTTCGTTTGTGTGGCTCGGTTACCTGAATTCGGCCCTTAATCCGATTATCTACGCATTTTTCAATGTCGACTTTCGGCGGACGTTCTGGATGCTTACCTTCGGCAGTTGCAAGCATTGTACGCCCTCGTGCGTTGAAAAGGAGAAAGGGATGTCTTATAATGTCTGAATGTTATTAATTGAGTTTACGCTTAAGGCGAAAGCTTTATTAAAGTAAATCGAACGTCACGACGAGGATATGCTGCAATGTGTTATCATTTCTTTAATTTCAAGTTCTTTCAGTAGAAAAATGCCAAAAAGTACTCGCACATTGTACAAGTAGTAACCGTAGTGAGACTTTCACCCACTTGGGGATTTGATGTTAAATGCCGACGCCAGTGGGTTTCTGAGTATTCAAAATTAATACTGTTTGGTACGTACTAGGAAGTAATTTCGTTTTCATTTCATTCATATTTTCAATTATTGAGTCTATTTATAAAATTAATGACTCACATGGTCTGTGTGTTTATTAAATTGTCATGATTTCTCGCTTTAACTTGAGACATGTTACGGAAATCATTCTGACATACGCCCGGGGCCCTCCATTGGTATATCGTATTTCACTTTAGTATCTGGGTGTTATTGTTGAGCGACTCCTTTCCTCGCCAGGTATACCATACACGCCATGTCTGCGATGCATCTGGCTAATTCAGCTAAGTTAAGGAGCCTACAGTTCATCATCATAAGAATAGAAAAAAAAACAAATAAATAAATAGTAGCTAAATTGGATACGTCTCGAATTAGCGAAAATACAGTGTAGCTAAATTAACTACATCTTGAATTAGCAAAAAATTACTTAGGTAGCCATCTTGAATTAGCGAAAATACAGAGAAGGTAAAGGTGAAATATTAAAGCCAAGGTCATTTATTGAATCCCAATGCCAACCCTGAACGACAAGTTCAAACTTATCAACACTAGGGCCAAGTCTTTGAATACTGAAGTCAACCCTGTAAGTCAACTGTTGTTATAAGATAAACCGTGTCAAAACTTTTCCAGATTATTCACTAAAGATCTGCAAGAAATTGTTTCCATTTAACCCTAAACCGACAAAATGTTGTTTAACAATTTTGGCGGGAAAATTTATGACATTTATTTCAACAAATTTTGAACAGACCCAATGTTGCTCAAATATACCACGCTTGAAGAAATATTGAACACAAATAAGTAAATGATGGAAATTAAATGCTATCATATATTTATGTATTACAATGAGACAGTTATCTAGTGGAGTTTTCTCGATCTCTATTCAGCAATCGTACCGGGGTTAATTTAGGTCTGTCTAATCGCTGAATTTCATGATTCGTTTCACTCAATACACACTGATATCTATTTATCTTGAATCGACTCTGCCATTATCATAATAAATTTTTTCGATGAAAAGCTAATTATACTGTTATATATTCCAAATCTATTCAACTATGCGCACAGCCTTATCATAACGCGATGTTTTTTTTATTTCTCTAAATCTAGAAATAACTTACTGTAATTCAAAGATCGTAAACTATTTGTATGTTGAATAGCATTCAACAGTATCGCGCCTTCTTACAATTAAAGAGGCATTGTGGTTTTTTTTGAGCAGGTTTGAATATTTTGTTTTATATCTTAACTTTAAAAAGTCTGTAGAGAAGTTACAGTGTGATTTATCGTGAAATAAAGACGTTTTTCTAAAATTAAATTCTGCACACAATCACAGGTCAACGTAACGAAATTATATTTCCGTTACTGCCTTTTTGTGTGTGAGTTTTGGTGCTACACGCTGAGATTATACATTTTGTATTGGTAATTTACGACTAATAATTTGATGGCATGAACATGTGCGCAGTAATGGGATTGTCGCTTTTATTTCGAATTACTTCAGGTGGCAGTAACTCGTAGCAAGCGTTAATCGTCGTGAATCCACATGCATTGCAATGAAAACTCAGCAAACACTCACACGAGAAGCTGAAGCAATCGAACGAGAATTGTTGAAATGATACATAGGACACGTCTCCCCTCAATTCATACCATAACCATGTCACGTATTAGTGCCAACACATCTACAAGTACGGTATTGTAAAGTAACTTTTATGGAAAACACATACTAGTTGAAAAAAGCCTAGCCCGCGGTGTCTAACTGAACCTAAATAAATCTACCGTTACCATGTGACACCGTGAGTGCTTCACCAAAAAGGATTTTTGACGTGGGTCGAATATGGCCGCCACGATCTCCGAGTTGTTCGAAATAACGACCGTATCTTTGCAACTGATGTAAAGCGTGAGGACAAGACGTACGGTACGAGAGGTTGTCTGGAATTATACGTTATAGTAATGACATTTCGGGCAAATCATGAGTATATATGGTATGCAAAACTAACCAGGGTCGTTTTATAGTTCTATTGATCTATCTAAATCTGTCAATCAAAGTTTGGATAGTTATATGGCCAGTGATTATAACTGCATAATATATTAGTAGACATGTGATGAAATGCAAGCATTGGCGGTTGAAGTGCTTTGAAAAGTGAAATGTATAGTGCTAGTCTTGTCGCAATTAGGTATTTATTTAAACTTTAGGTTCTCATTTTGACATTTCTTTTTTGGCACTGTCAAACGACCACATTTCATTGCAATTATTGTCACTTTGCATACACGCGATGCTCAGATAAGAGGGACGTACGACGTATTGATCGCCTGTCACATGACACTTATGAAAAAAAATAAACAATGCTCGATTGTTTGTAAAATGGAAAAAAAAAACTACTGATGGTTGCCAGCTAATCACGCTTGACAGGTTGTTATGGCAACGGACCATCTGGAAGGTATCGTTTTATAGATTCAAATTTAAATAAAAACCCATCATTAAACAACCATATTACATGTGATTTCATAGCGATTCTTGTGTAGTTTGTCTTAATGACGATATTTCATACTTGTTACCTTTGATGTATGTAAAGTCATCAAAAGTACGCACCATAAGATATGCAGTTGTTGGTTTTTGTCTTATGAATAACATTTATAAGCCGTGTATAATAAAGTACAATTCCCGATGAAGTACGCATAGTGCCGTACTATTCGAAACGTTATCAGGTGAACTACCATGAGTATAATGTAATACAACGAGTGATTGTCAAATCTAGGCAAAATGATGTTCGCGATGTTTGCCTGCAAGTGATACATGTCAGTCGTAATATATGGAACACAGTGACATCAAACCAATCAACAAACATTGCCTCGCAATCAAGGCCAGAAATAACATGTAATGGTACAATAGAAAAAGTGATATTAAGACACCATACTGTGACAGCCCGCTAAGTTGGTTATCAGGGTGACGCGGAACGTGTGACTTTGGGAGCGCTCAAAGATTTACAGAAAACCCGAGTGAAAAAGACGAGTAATTGCATGCCACATTTCTCATTAGTATATTACAAAACTGTCAATTACATTCTAGACAAGTTCGTGTGTTCTGTATAACACCGTGTAACCATGACAACGTGAGCGGCAGAATTGTAGATCATCTCTTTGAGTCTAGCGATATCGTGCAACTCATTAAGTTAACATGTCGATGAGTTAACATGAAGTTATTACAAAACTATCCAAATCATGAAACGTGTTTAGTTAATCGAATCGAAAATAGTTATCGAATAGCTATGTTATTTTGAAAGATACAGAAAGATAAATTAGCATTGTAAATCACAGGGCAATTCGTATTATACGTTCTTTTCACCGGGGCCAGTTGCTCCATCATTTAAATAATTGAAATTATATATTGTATATTCGGAATACTATATTAACAATAATTTTATTGTGTATACAACTTCTAAAAATGAAAAATAGCATTTCGCTTTACCACAGATTTGTAGCATTTTTACCACAATACTATCACACAAATCCAAAAACAAAACAAAAAATCATTTATTTTTTCTTGAGAAAAAACGCGACAAAAGTATGCATATTCATGTGAGAACAAACGACGACAAACACTATGTAGTATCTAATCAACTACACTATCATTATTATTACGTCACATTTATGCCGATAACGATCCTCAACTCTAATCTAAATCAGTAATCAACTGTTTCTCGTTGGAGCTTAACTCGAACGCTTAGAAAAGATTACCTGCGTTTAATGAATGTTACAAATTAAATTAAATTCCAATTGCTTTGTAATTTTTTCACAAAAACAAAACACTGTTGGATCTGATATTTCGTCAAATTCAATTGCAAATTATTGTCACATGGTCTGCTTTTTGATGTTTGGCATGAAGAATATGAGCAGTAATGTGAACGGCACATTGATTGGATGATGCTTTTAACGTTCAATATGTCACAAAGAATGACGCTTTGAATTGTAATGCTTCAAATGTGAATTCAAAAGGTCACAAAAGATTATGCTTGACATGTGAATTCAAAAGGTGACAAAAAACAATGCTTGACACGTGGATTCAAAAGATCTCAAAGAATAATGCTTGACATATAAATTCAAAAGGTCCCAAAAGATAATGATTGACATGTGAATTGAAAATGTCAAAAAAGATAATGCTTAACATGTGAATTGAAAAGGTCACAAATGATAATGCCTGACATGTGAACTCAAAAGGTCCCAATGTATAATGCTTGACCTGTGAATTCAAAAGGTCACAAAAGATAATGCTTGACCTGTGAATTTAAAAGGTCAAAAAAGATAATGCTTGACATATGAATTGAAAAGGTCACAAATGATAATGCCTGACATGTGAACTCAAAAGGTCACAAAAGATAATGATTGACATGTGAATTCAAAAGGTCAAAAACGATAATGCTTGACATGTGAATTCAAAAGGTCCCAATGTATAATGCTTGACCTGTGAATTCAAAAGGTCCCAAAAGATAATGATTGACATGTGAATTCAAAAGGTCAATAAAGATAATGATTGACATGTGAATTGAAAAGGTCACAAATGATAATGCCTGACATGTGAATTCAAAAGGTCACGAAGCTTGACATGTGAATTCATAAGGTCACAAAGAATAATGCTTGACATGTGAAGTCAAAAGGTAAAAAAAGATAATGCCTAACATGTGAATTCAAAAGGTCAAAAAGGATAATACCTGACATGTTAATTGAAAAAGTCACAAAGAACAATGCTTGACATGTGTATTAAAATGTTCCCAAAGT